ACCACCCACAACATCTGCTTGAGGGAGGAGGACGCTGTGACCTTTGTTCTGTACGATTGAAACAGTCGCTGAGACACGCGGGCGTTGGGCCCGCCCTGATCCTTGGCGACTTTGTTGAGTGCGCACCACAGCTTGATGGATTCTTCGTTGGTTTTTACTGTCGGGTCCTTTCGAGCCCATTCTGCAAGACATCTCTCTGCTTTCCGACGGTCGTCTGCTGATTCATCAAGCTCGGACGCGAGCACTTGGTGCACTGCAGCGGCCGAGACCTGTTTGGCCATGAGCAAAGAAGGATCCGTACAAATCCTGGGGAGAACCGGAGCCGACACACCTCCCGCTGAAGCTTGGACAGCTTGCCGAGAGAGGAAAACATATGCCAGGAAGCGCGCGACACTAACCCGCAGGAACAGACGCTAACACGCACTAAACCACACTAAAAGACACTAATTTACACTAAAACACGCTAATTTACACTAAAACACACTAATTTACACTAAAACACACTAATTTACACTAAAACACGCTAATTTGCACGAAAACACACTGTTCTGCACTAAACTCCCAGACCGAAGGCACAGTGTCAGGGCGCTATTTGCTGCGAGTGTGCTTTCTGCGCGAGGTCCAAGCTGAAGTGCATATTAGGGCGCTCTCAAGGCCAGTGGAGCCCAAGATCGAATCAAGGCATCCGCACGCGCAGACCCTGTGCTGCCTGGCGGCGCTCCCAGTCGCGAGATGTCGCGCTGCAAATCTAGCAGCTCTGCATCCCACCACCGCTGCCGCTCCTGAACATGGGCCAGCCAAGCTGGCCGATTGGAGCGCCCGAGCGCCCATGCTCTCAGCAGCACATATGTTATCTGAGGTTTGTCGAGATCGTGGTCGTAGTCTCTGACTGTGACGGATTTAGACATCTCGTTCCGACCCAAACCATCAGGCGAGGCACAGCACCAGCGCGGACGCAGCCTGATCTTGACGTGGTCCCCTTTCCGGCGCTTGACGTAATCCTCCAAAGAGAAGTAGCCGTTCGCATACTCTGCCACAACATTTGTTCCAGGATCGTCCTCTGCAGCCGGCTCATTCACAGCAGGAAGGCGCCCAGCCTCCTCCGCCTCGAAGCCGGCATCCGTTTCAGCGCCAGATGCCAGAGTTTCCTGGCTGTCCGAATCCGCAGCGCTTCCTTTGCCCTGCAGGTCTGCATAAGCAAACTCAAAGTCTGGATCTGAAGCTTCCTCCTGTTTCTGTTTTTGCTGCCTGCGCGGTTGCAGGGCAACGCGGTCCGCGCCTAGGACTCGAAAACGAAGGATCCTCGTGGGCAGCATCGCACCATGGCCGACCTCCAGCCTGTGCACGTCTGCGTCGTCAGCAACATGGCCTGCCCACTCCTCCACAGCCTCGACCACAGGCATCAAACGCTGCCGGAAAGCAGGATCTAGTGGAAGCTCGTACTGCATCTGGCCTGTGGAACGCACTTGGAGGGCATACCCATGCCCGAGAAGTCCACAAAAGAAAAAGACACATTGCCTGGGTCGCGCATTCAGAACGAAAAATCCGTGTTTTTCCTGCAAGAGCTTCCTGGCCCATGTGGGAGACAAAGGCTTGTCTTTGCAAGGCGAAAGCCGAGGCACGACACGCATGTCGGCATGAATGTCAGAAGGCTTGAGTCGGTGAGATACGGATTTTCTGGATGTGTGGCTTGCGCGCAAGACACCACGCCACATGTCTGAGTTCTCTTCCAGCCAAGCAAGCCAGTCCTGATTTGTCATTGGCAGTGTTCCATCCGGCGTCAGAGCTTGCGTTGCTGCCCGGGCAGCCTCCCTTCTTGCAGCAGCTTGCGCTTCGAGCTCTGACCGGTTCTCGTGCAAATACTGTCTGAATGCAGCCAGGTCCCCCTTCTGGCGGGCCGCCTCGCGGAAAGAGGTGAGGCACGTTCTGCATGGCCAACGCACTTGACGAGATCTTGCGGCATCGCTTCGCAGAACGCAGGGTTGCGGTTTGCGTGACAATGCTCCTCTCTCGTCGCAGCCTATACCTAGAACGCCGAGTCATGAAGTCCAAAGATCTTATTGCTGAATTGACAACTGTCCAAAAAACCTACACCCTCAACGCTAACCCTACATCCTAAACCCTAAACCCCCAACCCCCCAAGCTCCAACAGCTGACTGACCAGCGTCAAGCCACCGACCCAGGATATAGTTCCGTGACGCCACTGCCACGCTTACAACCTTATTCTTCTCAGCACGCTTCACCTGCACATGCGCCCGCTCCACGTCCAGGCTAGATGCCGAAGCGCACGTGAGCATGCGGACCAACTCCTCTTGGACATCTTCCTGGATCAGAAATCTGATTGCCGCTGCCAAGTCCTTGCTGGCGCCTGGTCCCTGACTCCAAGCTTCTTGCTGGAGCGGCAAAGAAAACCCGACATCGAGACTTTTGGAATCCGTGCCCAGAAATAGTTCAATGGCTGCTATGAAGCCGGTCGGGTTGAACCGCTCCGTCAGCTCATACAATCTGAAGGGATATTCCGCAAATTCTCGATAGCGGTGCAAGATGTGTATCTGTGTGACCAGAAGACCTCCCACAGCATCTGTTATGTCTAAGTCGGGATCAACGTGCAAAGCAGACAAAATAGAATCAAACTGCAGCATGGTCTTCTCTTGAACTTCGCCTTTGGCCAAGCGAACCAGCGTCGGCTCGGACGCTGCAGCAGACTTGGACGAAGAGATGTTCAGGGCATGCTCCGTCAAGGCCAAGCACAAGACAGCCTTGCGCAACTCTTGGCCCGTGCTTGGACTGCGGTAATAAGACAGGAACCTGTTGAGCCGAGCGCGGTTCTCTGCCGAAGGTGCTGCCGCGCGAACATCTAGAACTTCGCCCGGGATGCCAACGAAATGCATTCTCAGCAAGGCCCGAGCGCACGCAGCAAAATGCCAGAACCTCGTCGGCTGCGGCCGCTCTTCCAGGAAGATCACCAGCTTGGACAGAAGCCTCAGTACACGGGGTTATTAGGGGTTTAGGGGTTCAGGGGTTTAGGGGTCTAGGGCTTAAGGTCTTGATTTGGTTGGAGTGCTTTAGGCTTGAACTTGAAGTTTGCATGGATTGTTGGCTAGAACCCGAAGACAAAAGCCTCGCGCAGCAAAAACATCTGCTCAAATGGACAAGGACCGGAAGGCTTCCTGCATGCATGAGTGCTGCTGTCCCGGCAGCGGAGACACGTGGACCCAAACCCCGAGACCACGGTTAAACACGGCCAAAAGGTCTTCGGGAATGACATCAGAGCCGTACAACTTTCGCAGACCTTGGGACACCTCCCGACGATCTGCAAACGGAATATCTGCATCTCCGGGCAAGCCTTCCAAGATCTGCAGCTTGGATCGGACAAATGTCTGCAGTGATGCATTGTACTCTTCGACATATGTGGGCATCAGGTATTTGTACAAACGTGACAAAGCTCCACAAAGCTCGGAGTCCTCCAGCGGCCGCGCGAGTATTTCACCCACCACCGCAACCTGCACCACCAAGTTGGCCACATGCGACGCGCAGCGAACAACCACAAGACGAACATCCACATGACAGCCATTTCGGTGTGGGTGGTCACGCAAGTAGGAGAACACCCTCTTGGCCGACGCCATATTTGTGTTCACACCATCGCCTGTCAAAATGTAATGCACACGCAATGTCGTCCACCGCTTCTTCTCGGCGCTCGTCAAGCTGTTTAACGCAGCGCCAGCCACGTTCAGAACAGCTTGTCCGATGGTTAAGGCATCCTTTCTCTGCAGCGGCTGCAACTCCTGATACAACTCAAGCTGCGCCCCGGAGGGAAAAGTCAAGTAAACGCAGTTGTTTTGTATCTTTGAATAACGCCCACGAACAAGGCGGCCAGAGACATCTGCATCCAGCGACCGCAACTTCATCTCCGCCTCTGGGTATGGCTACTGGGCATTGTGATTTAAAAACACCCCAAACAAACAGTTTTTGCGTCCTGGGTCGTTTCTTGTGTTTTTGGGATGCCAAGCAAACCTCTATAAAGAGTTTCCGACCCCTGGCCTCATCATGTATGTGTGAAATCACCACAGCTTGCGACGCACGCGAGTACGTCTGGCAGGGAAGGGCCTCCGCGGCTACACGGATCTCTTGGAAATTGCCAGTCTTCACAACCTCGACCATGGCATCTCGGACTTGGCAGATGTACGTGCGGCTGATGGTCTTGGTTTCCGTCAGGCCGAAATCTCTGCAAAAAGTGGCCAGCGCTTGCGGCACAGTAGTCGGGTCGCAGAAGGCTGTACGAACGACCCAAACGTTCTGAACCCTCCCATCTATTTTCAAACCCTTCGTTGCCTGCAGGTCGGCTTGCAACTGCCGGATCTTGTGTCGAAGAGTTGCGACCTTCATTTGATGCTGCCGGGCAGTAGGCGGCGACTTGGCTATCCGACCGCGCGCCGTCATGCTTTGCTCAAACTCAGATTGCAAAGTTGCGATGACCTCCTGGATCTTGCTGCGCAAAGCGTCCGAAACCCCAGGCTGCCCAGCAAAATCTTGCAAACTTCGCTTGATTCTGCCAGCTTGTTGCTGCAGACTATTCGTTAGTAGCTTAGGAGCCATGGCGCACAAGCTCAGACGCACACGGATGGCCAGTCAATATATTTCATGATTTCTTCATCGTATGCGGCTTCAAAATGAGACATCTTCTTTCACTACTCAACCGGACATGTGCCCTCAACCCATCGCAAGAGTGCTGCTGCAACAGGAGACAACAAGGAAATCCATGCGGCGGACATGTTCTACGATTGTTTTAAGCCACTGTGTTTTGCAACCTAATGTTCGTCTCTTTGTTCGTCTCTGCAAAGCTTGAGGGAGTCATCGGCAAACGACCTACCACTTCTGAAGGAGCCAAAGCTTCAGCGCGCCTGACTTTCCGATTTCCCGAGCCATGAAAAACTGACCCTAAACCCTAAACCCTAAACCCTAAACCCTAAACCCTAAACCCTAAACCTGTCAACCTGGAGGGCGAGGCAGAGATGAAGGTAGAGGCGGCGGCGGAGGAGGAGGAGGAGATCGAGGCAAGAGCGGCCTCCAACGATTAGGGCCTAGAGTGCGTTTAAGGGCTGCTTGGGGTTTAGGGTTTAGGTTTTATTGGGGCCTAGAGTGCATTTCAGGGGGAGAAACTGCGGATACGTGACGTTCAAACAGCGCAGCTGTGCTGCTGTTTTTGGTGCATGTCTGTGCAGTGTCCTTCAACCTGCAAACGGTCGATTAGAAGCTGCAAGCAATGATGTGGAGATTGCAAGGAAGGTGGCAGTGCACCTCTCTTGCTACAAACTCTAAGACTATAAGTTTTGCAGCTTCAGAAGCCCTGAGCACCGTTGCTTTGTGCATGCTCCTGACAGTACCCCCTAAGCCCTAGGCCCTAAGCCAAGAATCCAAGAGAACCTCGACGTTGAAAAGGCCGAAGACGCCACAGAGGACCTCTGTCCCACGTCTGCAGATGCTCCAGCAGAGGCCTCACGACGTCGGGTAGAAGGGGATGGGGGAGGATGGGGCGCAGTCTTGCGAGCAGAGGCTGAAAGCAATGATGTGGAGGATGCCGAAAGCGCGGCGGAGAACTTACGTCCGCTCTCCGCAGAACCTCCTGCTGAGGCCCGGCAATTGAAAGGGTGGCATTGCTGCGGCCCGCACCACCTCTCTTGTCCACAAGCTACAAACTCAGTCGTGCATTTTTCAGAAGCCCTGAACACCGTTGCTTTGTGCATGCTCCTGACAGTACCCCCTAGGCCCTAGGCCCTAAGCCAAGAATCCAAGAGAACCTCGACGTTGAAAAGGCCGAAGACGCCACAGAGGACCTCTGTCCCACGTCTGCAGATGCTCCAGCAGAGGCCTCACGACGTCGGGTAGAAGGGGATGGGGGAGGATGGGGCGCAGTCTTGCGAGCAGAGGCTGAAAGCAATGATGTGGAGGATGCCGAAAGCGCGGCGGAGAACTTACGTCCGCTCTCCGCAGAACCTCCTGCTGAGGCCCGGCAATTGAAAGGGTGGCATTGCTGCGGCCCGCACCACCTCTCTTGTCCACAAGCTACAAACTCAGTCGTGCATTTTTCAGAAGCCCTGAACACCGTTGCTTTGTGCATGCTCCTGACAGTACCCCCTAGGCCCTAGGCCCTAAGCCAAGAATCCAAGAGAACCTCGACGTTGAAAAGGCCGAAGACGCCACAGAGGACCTCTGTCCCACGTCTGCAGATGCTCCAGCAGAGGCCTCACGACGTCGGGTAGAAGGGGATAGGGGAGGATGGGGGCGCAATCTTGCGAGCATGGACTGAAAGCAAAGATGTGGAGGATGCCGAAAGCGCGGCGGAGAACTTACGTCCGCTCTCCGCAGAACCTCCTGCTGAGGCTCGGCAATTGAAAGTGCGGCATTGCTGCGGCCCGCACCACCTCTCTTGTCCACAAGCTACAAACTAAGTCGTGCATTTTTCAGAAGCCCTGAACACCGTTGCTTTGTGCATGCTCCTGACAGTACCCCCTAGGCCCTAGGCCCTAAGCCAAGAATCCAAGAGAACCTCGACGTTGAAAAGGCCGAAGACGCCGCAGAGGGCCTCTGTCCCACGTCTGCAGATGCTCCAGCAGAGGCCTCACGACGTCGGGTAGAAGGGGATGGGGGAGGATGGGGCGAAATCTTGCGAGCAGAGACTGAAAGCCTTGATGTGGAGGATGCCGAAAGCGCGGTGGAGAACTTACGTCCGCTCTCCGCAGAACCTCCTGCTGAGGCCCGGCAATTAAAAATGGGTGGCATTGCTGCAGCCTGCACCTCTCTTGTCCATAAGCTACGAACTACGTTATGCACTTTCAGAAGCCCTGATCACCGTTGCTTTGTGCATGCTCCTGACATCTCCTGACCATAGTACCAAGAGAACCTCGATGTTGAAAAGGCCGAAGACGCCACAGAGGACCTCTGTCCCACGTCTGCAGATGCTCCAGCAGAGGCCTCACGATGTCGGGTAGAAGGGGATGGGGGAGGATGGGGCGAAATCTTGCGAGCAGAGACTGAAAGCAATGATGTGGAGGATGCCGAAAGCGCGGTGGAGAACTTACGTCCGCTCTCCGCAGAACCTCCTGCTGAGGCCGGCAATTGAAATGCTTCTGACCGTACTGTGGATGGCGGAGTTTGGGCAGGATTGTGCCAGCATGCGTTGGCTCCCTTTCCCATTGCGCCCGACTGCTTCACATTGTCTACGGGCTTCGAGGTTGTCGTGGGGTCTTTCAACGCCTCGCCATGGCACGAGCCTATGCAAACAAAGGCAACACAGGGGTGAGGAGGGTGTAGGCCAGCATTGACCACGTTGAAGCTGAAGCAACTTCCTCCATCAATCTAAGTATGACCCATAGGCCAAGAGCCCCGAAGACCTAGGCAATAGGGGCTACTTAGGTACGTAGCGGCTATATAAGGTATATATAGTGGTTATATAAGGGAGTAACACTAAGGGTCCCTTCTGAATTTCCCTCCTTATACCCCGTAATCCCACGACACCACGCTGGAAAGGCCGCGGATGCTTGTCCTAAACCCTAATCCCTAAACCCTAAACCCTAAACCCTAAACCTAAACCCTAAAACCCTAACCCCTAAACCCTAAACCCTAAAACCCTAAACCCTAAACCCAAAAGAGATGATAACAGTGGGGTACTATAATCCCGATTAAGGACTGTTCGTAGAGGCGGGGAACATCCCAAACGAAACCCGCTGTCTGACAGCCGAACTGCGAAGGACGAAGCGTGAGGTGTGAGAGCACCTTCCCCCAACCCTCAACCCTGAACCCTAAACCCCAAACCCTAAACCCTCAACCCTAAACCCTAAACCTTGATGTTTGGCTCAAGCTCAACCGCTCAAGTCGCTGTTGTATAGCGTTAATTCGTTCACAAAAACGTGATCGAAGGAGCACAGGATGCGGTTCTTTCTTTTGGTGCTCCTTACACGCGCACCTTAGCCGTAGAGTATGATGATTATGGAACCTTTATCCTTTTTGGTGTAGTAGAATCCCCTTATGTTCCCAAAGGTTAACCTTTAGTTCCCCCCAGGACCCCAAACCCTAAACCCTAAACCCTAAACCAGGTTACTGGACAACTAAGGCGCTTGGTGCTTTTTCAGGCGCCCCGGATCCGGAGGCTTCGGCCCTGGCCGGCGACGATGCCTGCACGAACTCCGAAGAGGGTGAATGCCGCTTGGTAGCCCAGTTTGGGGTTTAGGGTTTAGGGTTTAGCCTTTTCTTCCCTTGTGGGGGGGGGCTTCAAGGTTCCCTTTATAACGTAACCAACCCCCAAAAAAAGGGGTGCCCTTATGATAATATGGTTGCTGGGCTACCAAGGCAGCGTATCTCTGCGCCAGCTTCGACTAGGCCGCCAGGAGGCACAGACAGAAGAAGTGGACGAGGCGGGCGAGCCCATCTCCGTCATGCTGCCGTGCACCGAGCCGTCCGAGTTCGCCAGTGACTACGACTCAGGCAGCTTGGAAGAGTTCTCCTTCGCGGAGATCAAAGAGCATGTGCAGGATGAGAAAGGCAATCGTGACTGCTGGCTCCCCGGCGTCTACTACCGGGAAGCTTGGCTTCCTTCTGTCTGGCTCTTAGGACTTTAACTTCCTGGGTTTTTGGTGGAAACAATGAGGAGACTAAACGTTAAGCTTTTAGGAGGGGTTCGGAAGTCAGCCAAGTTTGCTAAACACTAAACCCTAAACCCTAAACCCTACAGCCAAGGAAGCCAACAATGCCATTAGCATGCCGGGCACACAGAGGACCGTCATTGGTTCTCCCGACCAATGCCAGGCCGCCTGCGCGGGCACCCCCGGCTGCGCCCACTTCTCCTGGTGGAAGGCGAGCTCGACCCAGGGTTTAGGGTTTAAGGTTCAGGATTTAGGGTTTAGGGTTAGGGCTTAGGGCTTAGGGCTTAGGGTTTAGGGTTTAGGGTTTAGGGTTTAGGGTTTAGGGTTTAGGGTTTAGGGCTAGGTACAACCCCAAGCCCAATGTAAACATAAGTTCCAAGCCCAAGAATCCCTGCCTCAAAGGTTCCCTGAACCCGAATACTCAATCCTTGGATCCTACATCCTATGCCCTAACCCCAAGCCCGAAACCCTAAACCCTAAACCCTGCACCCTAATCCCTAAACCCTGCACCCTAAACCCTAACCCCTAAACCCCTAAACCCTAATCCCTAAACCCTAAACCCCAAACCCCAAACCCCAAACCCTAAACCCTAAACCCTAAAAAAACCCTGGCGCAAGGATGGAGGTTGCCTCATGACCAGTTCGGGTGCCCGAGGCCTCGGCCACCGTGGAGGAGTGGTCTCCGGCCCCCCAAGCTCCTTGGGGATCAGCAGGATGACCACGTTGGGGTTTAGGGTTTAGGGTTTAGGGTTTAGGGTTTAGGGTTTAGGGTTCATGTACCGTAGTAGGGTTTAGAACAGGGATTAGATGCTTTTGAGCTTAGGGTTTATGGTCCGTGCAGCCTGATAGCGACGGGGTAGACCACAAGGCTGTGATGGAGCGGGCGCCCCCGGCGCCCCCAGTGCGCCCTCGTACGCTGGCCCCAGCGTGATGAGGGTGAAGGAGCGGGCTGGGCTCGCCCCACCCAAGGAGGTCCAGCAGTACAACGGCATTTCCTGGCCGACCATGAAGATCACGGATCAGAAGAAGGAGTACCACATGTTTGGGGTTTTTGGCGTTAAAAAACCCCATTTGGGGTATTTGGGGTTTTTTAACGTTAAAAAGTCCCCAAATGGGATCAGAAGAAGGAGTACCACATGTTTGCCATCGGCGATTGGGGCAGCCTGATTGGAACTCAGCCAGGTCGCATGATCCATGGCTTGCTTTTGGCTGGCTCTCAGGACTTCAACTTTTGGGTTTTTGGTAGAAACTACAAACCCTAAACCCCAAACCCTGAACCCTGAACCCTAATCCTGAACCCGATGTTCAGAAGTTAGCCAAGGATCCAGTACAAGAGTGGCCACACGGCTGGGCCGCACACCATGGCCCGCTGGCGGCTAGGATGACCATCAGTGCCCTTATTCCTTTTGTTTTTTGTTTTCTTTTTTTTTTTTTTTGGGGGGGGGGGGGGGGGGGGGGGGGGGTGGTTAGGTTCCGTTAAAAACCCCCTTTAAGGAAAAAATGGGCACGTTTTCTAATCCTAGGTTACTGGGGAACCTAGGCGGGGGCCCTGCACCACCGATCAGATGTCCGAATGCTTCGGCGGCGGCGCCTGCCCAGACACCTGCCACTTCGTGCAAGACGTGGACTACCGCGCGCAGGTGAGTGTGGCTCGGTAGGCCCTTGGGACATTTTTTACTTTCCCTTAATGGGTTTAAGAGGATGACTTTCACGAATGGGTTTATAAGATGATATTCAGAATTTTCCCTTAATGACCTTGTCAGGGGATCATCTTCGGGAATCTTTTTTCAGAGGGTTTTCAGAGTGGCCAGCCGAGGTGGCCACCGCCATGAAGAAGTTTGCAGCGGAGCGCGATCCGGACCTCTACATCAACGTGGGCGACAACTTCTACTGGGGAGGTGTGGGGGTTTAGGGTTCAGAGTTAGGGTTTAGGGTTTAGGGCTTTATGATAAGTAAGCGACCCCTATAAGGCACCCCCTAAGATCGTAAACCCCCAGGTGTGAACACCTTCTGTGGGACGCCGATGGACAAGATCCACCCAGTGACGGCTCACCAGTTCCGGGAGATTTTCGAGAACGTCTACCATGGCAAAGGCGTGGATGGGAAGCCCTGGCTGAGTGTTCTTGGCAACCACGACTACGGCGGCTTCCAGTTCCTTGGTAGCCCAGTGGTACCCTTGACTCCCCTTTTTTTAGGGTTATCAGGACCAGGAGTAGGCCGTTTCAGGTCCCCTCCTACCCCCCTTAAAACCAAAAAGGGCGCCCTTTTTTTCTAGGTTCCTCCTGGGTCTAGTTATGGGTTCCCTTACAAAGTAACCAATGCAAAAATGGGTGGCCTTATGGCTTATGACAACATGGTTACTGGGCTACCAAGATTCAACACCAAGGTTCCAGGGTTAAGGGTTAGGGTACAGGGTTTAGGGTTTGGGGTTTAGGGTTTAGGGTTTAGGGTTTAGGGTTTAGGGTTTAGGGTTTAGGGTTTAGGGTTTAGGGTTTGGGGTTTGGGGTTTGGGGTTTGGGGCTGATGATATGGCTGCTGGGCTACCAAGGTTCAACAAGGCCTGGGATCAGCAGATCGCCTACACCTGGGCCAGCGACCGCTGGGTCATGCCGGGGCAGTACTTCATGCAGCGGGTGGCTTGGTAGGTTTAGGGTTTAGGGTTTAGGGTTTAGGGTTTAGGGTTTAGGGTTTAGGGTTTAGGGTTTAGGGTTTAGGGTTTAGGGTTTAGGGTTTAGGGTTCAAGGTCCCCTTAGAAAGGAACCAACCCCAAGAAATCGGGTGCCCTTATTGTAATATGGTTACTGGGCTACCCAGGTGGAGTATCCCGACTTCTCCGTGGAGATCTTCATGATCGACACAAATATGATGGACTCCCATCCCAAGCACCTGGGACTGGCCCTAAACCTAAACCCTGAACCCCAAACCCTAAACCCTAAACGGGTTTAGGGCTTAGGGCTTAGGGCTTGGGGTTTCGAGCCGAAGTCAAAACAGTCTAGGAACCCTTGCTCTTACCCTGGCTTGCTGAGAAACCTGCAGAGTTTAGGACAAGACCCCCTATCAGAAAAAATTGGGGTTTGTGGTTTAGGCTACGAGCCCAGAGAAAGCCCTAAATCCTAAACCCTTAGGCCGAAGCCCTAAGACCTAAATCCTAAACCCTTAGGCCCTAAACCCTATACCTTAAACCCTAAACCCTAAACCCCAGGAGCGCAGACCCGAACCACAACATCTGCGGCGCCAAGAAGAATCCGCCGGGCGCCACCTGCGCAGCGACGGGTGGTCCGAAGGACTTGGATGACTGCTTCTGGGCTTTGGGTTTAGGGTTTAGGGTTTAGACGGTTTAGCTTCTGGGCGTGTTTTGTTTCTTTTGGTTTCGCATTTGGAGGGTAGAGTTGAGGGGTTTGGGGTTTAGGGGCTTAGGGGCTTAGGATTAATTAGATCTTCAGGTTTTGTTGGGCCCAAGAGAGCGAGAA